CGTGAACCGTTTTGTGTCCGGGTGTGCGTGTTCACCGCCGCCGTGTTTGGTTCACGTTGTGAGGAGCGTTCACGGCACTCACAGCACTCACGTCGCGGTTGGAACTCTCGCACGGTATTTGATATACCACAGGGAGGCGCCCCCCCGCATAACACAATTTCCTGCTACCACGTGTTATGCAAGCTACTGGGAAGACAAAGGCGGTTGGGCAGGCTTTGGTTCTGCCCCTAGAATGCATGCTATTTTGGTCCTGGACGATTGACATAATTCGTATTGTATATCTTCTGAATGATCCAAGGTCTAATACTCCCGTAATTGTTATTCGGTTTATGTTCTTTGGTTCTTTCGGTAAAGTAACGTAGAATGAGAATAAAATAATAAATTGATAAAATAAAATAACACAATAATATAATAACACAATAATATAATAATATAATAACACAATAATAATATTCTCGTGTGTTATTTTATTTTATTTTATCAATTTATTATTTTATTCTCATTCTACGTGGTGACTTTACCGAAAGAACCAAAGAAGATGAATCCTTGCAGTCACGAAAGCTTTAAATCGAAATTCGGTTTATGCTTAACCAATATTTATGGCATACAGTTATGATTTGTTCTTGGCACCTGATGAAGATCGCTTGCGTTGTGATCGAAACGTCGTGATTGTTTTTTGTTTTAACATAATTTTATTGTATTTCTACATACGTGACTTTACCGAAAAAAACAATGAGTAATTTTATGCAGTCATGAAAGCTTTAATATTTTATTGTCTCAATTATTATTCTGAAATGCATCAATCAATATTCTGACAATGCATCAGTCAATATTCTGATAATCCATCAATCAATATTCTGACAATGCATCAGTCAATATTCTTATAATCCATCAATCAAAATTCTGAAAATGTATCAATCAATATTCTGATAATGCATCAATAAATATTCTGATAATGTCCATAATAGAGGTTTTTTTGGGTTAGATCGCATAAATATATAAATGTTGTGTCATCGTTAAACCCGCCACCACTCGACACAGCCAACACGCACCTCGCGAGGGTGCACCCTACGTATCACACAGAACCGTCTACTGTCGGCAGCACTATCCAGCTAGAACAGTGGGCAGGCTGCCTGGCTAGCGGCGCCCAGCGATGGCGAAGACGGCGGCGGTGGTGAGACGACAGCACGGCGAGGGGATCCGCTTCCAGCAACAGCCCCAAGCTCTTGCTGGGGGCCCCCTCTTATCCTCCCGGCGTTGCCTCGCTCCGCCCTGGCCACGCCCCCTTTTTGGAACCTACCAGCAGGTTACCGGGCTTCCAGATGGACACCTTTCTGAGCTTTACCCTCTGTTTTCTTACCCCCGTGTGTACTGTCACCTGACTGACGTGTGTACTGTCACCTGCTGACGTGTGTACTGTCACCTGCTGACGTGTGTACCGTCACCTGACTGACGTGTGTACTGTCACCTGACTGACGTGTGTACTGTCACCCGCTGACGTGTGTACTGTCACCTGCTGACGTGTGTACTGTCACCTGACTGACGTGTGTACTGTCACCCGCTGACGTGTGTACTGTCACCCGCTGACGTGTGTACTGTCACCTGCTGACGTGTGTACTGTCACCTGACTGACGTGTGTACTGTCACCTGCTGACGTGTGTACTGTCACCTGCTGACGTGTGTACTGTCACCTGACTGACGTGTGTACTGTCACCTGCTGACGTGTGTACTGTCGTACACTGCAGTTACCACTTTCCGTCAGCAGCCAGCGCTATTGCTCTACACGTGTAATGACAGTAGAGTCAGTCTGCGGTGCGAGTGGACGAGTGGCCACATGGGTGGTGATGACAGGGGAGTCAGCCTGCGGTGCGAATGGACTGGTGGCCACAGGAACGATCGAGCATAGGGGCGTGGCCAGGTGAAGAGGACTGGAGTCAGCTTGTCTAGGGCGTGGTCACGGGACAGGGGCGTGGCCACGCACCGTATATAAGGGAAATGCGTGGGAGACTCACGGCTGTTGCAGTGGGGTCTCCGCCTGTCTGAGTGAGCAAGTGGCTGCTTAAAGAAAGCATCTCAAGACAAGTGCGTCCGAGTCGTCTTTACACATGCAGACAAACTTGCTCTGACAATGTATGTGGAGTGGCGTGACGCGCGTAGGGTTTGCAAACAGCAGTTGCATTCATGTACGGGGTTGAAATCAGTGTGGTCGGGTCAGGACAAGCAGGTGCAAGCGTGTGGCCTGAGAGACAGCAGACAGAGAGACGCCAGCAATTAGGGACAGAGGCAGTGATTGGCTGGCTACAAATTCAAACACGGAGTAGGTGCCAAGGAGGTGAGAGATCGAGGCGATAAGGGGGGGAGCACGTGCAGGAGACGCCGGAAGGACGCCGGCTTAACGAGGGCCACCTGAGGACACTGAATGAGGAGGGGGATATGAGGGGAACGTGTGAAGCAACGGGGTTGAGTTGGTTGAAGATGAAGAAGTGAAGAGTCAAGACAAGAAACGTCCGGGACCTCGACCTCCACACCTCGTCCTGGCCCCCAGCGGTGTTGGCCTGAACCCCCGCTGGGGCACGGGCGAGGTTGGAGGTGTGGGTGTAGTAACAGGCTAGCGGGGGAGAGGCTAGCGGAATCCTGAGTGTGAGTGTGTTAGGCTAGCGGAGAATAGGCGAGCAGGAGATTCAGTGAGAGGTTAGTGGAGTGAGAAGCTAGCGGAGTGAGAAGCTAGCAGAGTATACAGTAAGAGGCTAGCGGAGAACAGGCTAGCGGAGCCAGAGAGAACGTCCGTGAAAGGATAGCGGAGTGCGGAGTAGCAGGCTAGCGGAGCCAGAGAGAGAGAGAGAACGTCCGTGAAAGGCTAGCGGAGTGCGGGGTAGCAGGCTAGCGGAGCAAGAGAGAGAGAACGTCCGTGAAAGGATAGCGGAGTGTGGAGTAGCAGGCTAGCGGAGCCAGAGAGAGAGAGAAGAGTGGTGGAACGTGAGGAGCATCCGTGTGGGATGCTTCGAATAAAGTGACACAGGAGAAAAATAAGAAGTTGTCTGCGTGAATAAACACCACGACATGTGCACCGTGATTTGCTTCTGAAAAAGAAGCTAATAGCTGAGTGGACCCTACCTGGTAAAATAAACGAATAAAAAGTTTAGTTTTATTTGTATATTTTTCAATTGATTGGTTTACCTTTCCTCTACTTTGCACTCCGATCTTCAGTTTGTTGTAACGTTCTGACCCAGTGCCGCTACTGGACATCTGTGCACAAAAGAGCTTCATAGCTCATTGGATTCTTCCGGTCTAAGATAAAGATTCTGAAGCTTTTCGATTTAAAGCTTTCGTGACTGCAAGGATTCATCTTCTTTGGTTCTTTCGGTAAAGTCACGTAGAATGAGAATAAAATAATAAATTGATAAAATAAAATAACACAATAAAATTCTCACGACGTTTCGGCCACAACACAAGCGGCCTTCATCTGTCCTCCAGACAGTCTCGTGAAGGGACGAGACTGTCTGGAGGACAGATGAAGGCCACTTGTGTTGTGGCCGAAACGTCGTGAGAATTTTATTGTGTTATTTTATTTTATCAATTTATTATTTTATTCTCATTCTACGTGACTTTACCGAAAGAACCAAAGAAGATTCTGAAGCTTCTCGTGATGAGTTTAACTTTTTACTAAACTACTTAAACTATGTTTAGATTACCAGGTAAGACCCCACTGAGCTTCTGTGTAGCTCGTTATCATAAGCGACCTGGCCATCACAAATGATAGCAGCTCAGCCAGGTGGCTGATATCGTCATCATCATCAAGTAGATGTAGTGTTGTTTACCAACACGGAGGCACACACTCTGGACTGGGAGGCAACACTTTTATTTAACAACTTCCCTAGCGGGTAACACTGAGGTGATGTGGCTAACGATGTGAGTAGCGAGTTAACTCGAGACGAAGACCCGGTAGACGACGAGACGCGGGACCCAGGCTTGATTCCACAGACGAGCCAAGAACACTCTCGGGACTGCTCCTTGATGCTCCTGGGCGTGGCTTCGCTCCGCCTTCGGCCACGCCCCCTTCAAGACCTTTCCCGAAGGATCCCGACCGAGCATCACGTGCCCCACTCAGGCTACCACTTCCTCACTTGCCCTCTCTCTCAGGCCATCACCAGGACTATGCCACGTGGGGCTGGCTGACATGCCGTACTTACTCTGGTGCTAGAGAGAGGCTCCAGACGCACAGTTGCACTCCTGTAACAGTAGCTGGCGCCAACACCCTAGTTACACCATTTACGTCACTACATAGACATTCATAGCAGGAGACAAATACTCTAAACGTGTGGTGTTGTAGATTCTGAATGTGTAGGGGAGAAAAATCCACACGACCACGGGGGGAGTAAACACGCAAACTACAAATATACAGCAGCAGTTCGTCAGGGTCGGGATTGAAGCCACGACCTCCTGTACACCAGGCGAGGTGGTTGACATCTCTTGACTTAAAGCTTCCGTGACTGCAAGAATTTATATTATTTGGGTCTTTCCGTAAAGTCACGTAGATAGGTTCAAAGAATATAACAAAAACTACGATGTTTTGATCGCAACGCAAGGGATCGAAACGTCTGAAGACGACCGCTTGTGCTGCGATCGAAACTTTGTTTCGATCTACGTGACTTTACCGAAAGACCCATACAACATAGTTAACATCTGTGACGTTGTTTGTGCTGTACCCCACCCACCGCTTGGACTAGGGAACTCCTGAGTAATCTCTCTTCCTTCTGTGAGTCACAGCCGCCGCTCTCTGAACAACCTCAGCTGGCTTCGTCGTCTAACACGGAGAGGGAGAGGAGGTGGGGGGTGGTGAAGCATCCATTCTGCTGTCAGTGTGACGGGGCAGGTAGCACCACCCACTGTGCATTGACACTCACGCACAGGTGACAGCCACACTCACACACACACGCAAAGATGACAGCCACACACACTCACAGGTGACAGCCACTCACCACACACAGAGGTGACAGCCCCACACACTCACACACACGAACACACGCAGAGGTGACAGGCACACACACACTCACACACACTCACATTCACACGCGGTGCCACTGAACGCGTGCATCGAATCATTATCGTTCACCCCACGGAGCTGTGACTTGGGCTAACAACGGTGAGGATTAAACTATGTGCGAGTGTGTTAGTGTGTGTATAAGTGTGTGAGTGTGTGTAAGTGTGTAAGTGTGTGTAAGTGTGTGTGAGTGTGTGTGAGTGTGTGAGTGTGTGTGTAAGTGTGTGTGAGTGTGTGAGTGTGTGTGAGTGTGTGTGTGAGTGTGTGTGTAAGTGTGTGAGTGTGTGTGTGAGTGTGTGTGTAAGTGTATGAGTGTGTGTGAGTGTGTGTGTGTAAGTGTGTGAGTGTGTGTGAGTGTGTGTGTGAGTGTGTGTGAGTGTGTGTGTGTGAGTGTGTGTGTAAATGTGTGAGTGTGTGTGAGTGTGTGTGAGTGTGTGAGTGTGTGTCTGAATGTGTTGAAGAGTGAATCCACAACATTTACAGTTTGAGTGGATTCACTCTTCAACACACCGGTGGGCTAAAGTAGTGAACTATTTGTCTTTTGGCAACGTGACACTTTTTTGCTGATTGGCCGTGTCGGATGGTGGAGGGTTACGACACATTTATAAATAACGCGATCTAACCCAAAAACCTTGATTAAGTGCACCTAGCCTGGCACAGGCGCCGTTGTGACGTCACCGTCACTTAGTGGCGAATGGCGGGTATTGGTATGGATGTTGGACTTCTTTCTCACCGTACGTAGCCAACCGTGGCTAATCGCAGTTGCAGGTGAAGGACAACAATCTTAGCACAACAACAACAACAGCACTCACGTCTAAACAAATTAGTGCTCAATCGAGATTATTTAAAAGTTGGCTTCTCAATATCGCATGGAAGAGCGTTCCAGACGGCTGCAGAAGTGCATCTGAAAGCGTGCGAGGCGGTGTGTGTTTGTAAGTCGACTCATCCTCAAATGTCTTAAACATCGCCACTGGGGAGACAAAGGCGGCCGGGCATGGTGTTGCCCACCCACTCCCTCGTGTGCCACAGTGCAGGCCGGAGTAGGCTCTACAGGCCAACAGCGCTTGCCCCTGCAGTCTATTAGTAGAAGTTAGACTGGGATCGTTATTTTGGTATTTCACGCGCATACCTCTAAAGTGAGTGGGAAACACCGCCAGGTACGTGAGAGGCATTCGTGCAATGCTGCCGTGGCCTTCAGCAGTTGAGGGACCGGTTGGACTGCTCTCTGTGGTTACCGATCTAACCGGGAGATTTAATCCCAATTTCATTGACTCACTCCCAGATTCAGACTCCATTCAAAGTCATTGTCCCTTGTGATTGAGGTTATTTATTTAACCACCAGCTGAGAGAGCTCCCGTTGAGATTCACTGTCTCGTGTTGATGAGTCTTGCTGCAAGGTGAAGTGGGGAGACGTGACCCTGCCAAACGATGAATTAATTTGTAAATTGTTTGTAACTTGTTCATTTTACAGATTTCCTGTCCTCCATTCGTAAAGGAATGGCCGCGATTTCTACTCTTGGAACAACAAAAGCAACAACAATAGTAATACTATTATTAATTGGTAAGTAGCATCACCACCACCATGTTTAGCCTGTAATAGGCTGCTGGGGCAAGCGCTGAGCGAGGCTGTGGGTGGAGGGACTGGAGCAGGGGGCACGTCGGGGGCACGTCGGGGGCACGTGGGGGGCACGTGAGGGACACGTGGGGGGCACGTGGGGGGCACGTGGGGGGTCGCGCGATGGTACAAAATACCCAGGCAGGTGCTTAGTTTTGGTGGGGCTGATGGTAAGGCCCCACCTCTTAGTGGCACGCTCCAGGTACAGCAGCAGCGCCTCCAACTCCTTCTCTGAGTGAGCAGCCAATTACCAGATCATCGGCATACATAACGTGGTTGACCAACAGGGAGCTATCCCTTGATGCACCCGGGCTTCGATCAACCTCCCATTGTATCTGTACCAGATGGAAATTCCTACGGTACAGCCATCAAAGGCTTCACGAACTACGTGGTCGAAATAGATGTTAAGTAATGTGGGAGCCAGAGGACATCCCTGTCGCACCCCAAAGTGAACAGGGAATGGCACCGACTCCCGGCTACGTAGTTTTACCCGGACCCGCTCACCATCATGAAGGTCCTTAATGAGCGTGAGCAGAGGGTCAGGGACTCCGAAAGCACGAAGAACAACCCAGAGCCCAGGCCTACTGATGACATCATAGGCCTTGACCAGGTCAATAAAGCAGAGATGTAGGTCTTGTTGGAATTCCCTACACCTCTGCTGGAGCAAACGGACAGAAAATATGGCATCTGTGCAGGACCGCCCTTTCCTGAAACCACATTGGGGCTCCGCAAGCCTCTCCTCAACGTGCCTGGCAAGGTGATGCTGAATAATCCTTGCCAGGACCTTTCCCGGCACACTGAGGAGTGAGATGCCCCTGTAGTTGTTACAGTCTGTGCAGTCCCCCTTCTTAAAGAGGGGGACCACCAGGGCATCCTTCTAATCCTGCGGAACCCGTCCAGTAGTCCAGACCGTTGTTATGATGTCATATAGGGCAGTCTGTGCACAAACGCCACCCTCCCTCAGCATTTCGCTTGGGAGATCATCTCTGCCCGGTGCCTTTCCTGGTCTCAGACTCCGGATCGCCTTCAGTACATCCTCAACAGATGGCACCTCAGCCAGCCACTCACAGGGGGTGACTTCTTCTTCCAATATATGAGGCACCGCAGCCTCAGCAGGGTCATACCCACTTTGTGCCACGTTGTTTGGTTCACACCCGAGAAAAGCCATCTCGGGTGTGGACCAATCAAATTCAAGGACAGTGCATGTTATCAGAGTTGTCTTTTTTGTTTGCATTTTGACTACTTGTGTTGTGGTTATTGCAAACATGATCCCTTGTATAAAGGTGTCAGTTTTTGTGCCAGATAAACGGGTAAAAACCTATTACTATATCTTGTTACTGGCAAAGGAGGTCTCATGTAGTACAGCACTCATTGGTTGTTGTGTGTTGGAGAGTAAGCCCACTACAACATTTAAAATCCGAGTACCGTGACTATCGCCGGTAATTACAACAAGGAGGAGCATCAGGTGACTCTGCGGTTTTCATTCCGCATACCCCGCATTCCCCGCCCACCTCACACACCGCCAACATCGGTGGCAAAATGTAACCAGGAACTCGTCCGGTCTGTGCAGATCAGCAGGGCTGTTGAGTCTGGGGAGGTCTGCACCGATCACGCTTGACAGGTTGTCACGGGGCATCTGCGGGGCTCTGTGAAGCCAGCAACAAGCTCGTTTGTTGTCGTTCCCCGCACCTCCGCTTAGCACGGTTGTCTACGTACAGTGCGAAAGAAGTTCAACACATACATACTCAGCACGCTTGGCTACGTACGGTGCGAAGCAAGTTCAACATACGTACATAGATACAGCAAAGAGCAGGGCAATGCAAGGCATTGCTGTGCGCCGGCTATGATGCTTGCCACAAATGGTAGCTCAACGAAGTGGCTGATCGTCGTCATCATCATCACGTGGAAATGTCTAGCAGCCAAATACTCTAAAGGCGTGATGTTGATTCTAAATGTGGAGGGAAAAACCGGAGAACCCACAGTCAAATGCACGAGACCACGGGGAAAACACGCAAACGCCAAATATACAACAGGCGTTAGGGTTGGGATCGAAACCACGACCTCCTGTATACCAGGCGAGGTAGTTAACATCTCCTCGCCACCGTGACACCCCTAATGCGACTGTCATCAGTGTAACGTTCTTACCCCGTGGCCCTACTGGATCATCTGTGAAACAGAGCTTCATAGCCTATCGGATTCCTCCATTATAAGTAAAATAAATTCTGATTTATCCGCAGGAACGGTGTTCGCTGACAGCGCGGGGGTTGGGGATGGCTCGGAGTCCGGAGTGCAGCGCCAAGGAAGAACACCACGTGGTGAGTTCAATAGCAGGTCGTGGTCAACTCGAATTCATCACCACCACCACCATCGCCATCATGACCATAACCACCATCATCACCATCATCGTCACCACCATCATGATCATCATCATCACCACCATCGTCACCACCAACAACATCACCACCACCACCATCGCCATCATGAGCATAACCACCACCATCACCACCATCATCGTCACCACCATCATGATCATCATCATCATCACCACCACCATCACCATCATCACCACCATCATCATGACCATCATTATCATCGTCACCATCACCACCATTGTAATCATCACCACTTTCATGACCACCATCATCATTATCACCGCCATCATCAACACCAACATCATCATGATCATCACCATCGTCATCATCACCGTCATCATCATCACCACCATCGTCATTACCACCACCACCGTCATCATCACCACCATCATCACCACCATTATCATCACTTGTTAACTATTAACTGGGCAGTGACAAGAGCTATAGAGCGCCTGGGAACGAATGATTAATACATAACAATCAAAAGAAAGCTAATTTAGTGATCTAACACAAATAATGCTCAAGCAAGAATCGTAGTAGCATTAAATAACCGTTTCATTTTTAATGAAAGTAATCCATTATTTAACTACAAAACGTAACATCTGACGAATGTAACCGGCCCACCCTATCCCTCCCCTCCCGTGATTGTTACGAGGGGGCAAACCGGTCAATAAGTAAAAACAACAACAACAATAGTAGATGATGAGTTCGGAGGGGATGAGTGGATACTCTGCGGTGTGTTCTGCTCTCCTTCTGAGATGACTCCACCACCAAGGCACAACCAGAGGGTTGTGTGACTGCAACTCTTTACTTCAAAGTGTTCTTCTGAGGAGCATTCGTGCATCTGTGATTATGACCAGATGCACGCCAAAAAAACCCAATTCACACCACCTCATTGCTCAACCCCTGTACTGACGGGATTGAGTGCAAGTGTAGAGGTGTTGTGGGAAGGAAACACACAGTGTGGGAAGGTAACACACAGCCACACCTTGGTGGCTACAACCACGTCCGCTATAGTCCCGCCCTCAGTGGTGTATGGGTATAAAGGGCGGGGAGCCAGAGAGCTCGGGGCAGTGTGTTGGGGCCAAGAATGAAGAACCAGTGAAGAAGGAAGGCCGGCTAGATAGACCCTGGGACTCCCCTGACCGCTGTCCTTTTGAGGGCCGGCAGGGTAAGCCAGTGGTGCGGCCCCAGAGCCTCAGAGCCGGAGCCCTTTTAAGAGTCGGTCTGGTTGGTGGGGTGCCGTGATCTGTGCCATGACCAGGACCAGATCAGATAGCCTCCTCTAGCGCCTGTAGCGGAGGAACTGGGAGCACAGGAATTAGACTATAAAGCCTAGGGGGCGTCCCAGCGTGAATATGGGTGAAGGGGCCATTACACCCTTCCAGTGTAACCCGTGTTAAGTTGAATAAACAGTGCTGCCTCTACTCCACCGTCTCCGTGTCCCGTGAACCCACTACAACTGGTGTCAGAAGTGGTCTTTATAATGCACACAAGACGGACAAACCGCTCGCAAGAACCTGGGGAGGAAGACGACTCTGCTGGGGCTGCTGGGACAGCGCCAGCAGACTTGGCCGACGATCCCGAAATGCCACAGGCGTCCCAACAGCCGCCGCAGCTGGAGGAGTGGCCGCCGTTAGGCGACGGGTTACGGGTGTCTCACTCCCATCTTGCCGAGCTGCTGTACGCAGCGGCATCCACGCTGGAAGAAATTAACCGCGCGGGGCTGGGGGTTCCGATGCGGCATGGCGAAGAACGCCGGTCAACGGCCGTTCCCGCCAGCACACAGCCGCCAGAATTTGGATTCGCCGCCATGGCGGTGTCTACTAAGGAGATTGGAGGGCCACAGCACCACGTGGACAGCGGGGGCCAATCACCGGCCGTAACGTCATCACCGATGGACGTTCGCCACCAGGACCAATCGGCAGGTGCAACGTCATCAACTGTGCGACCGCCAATGGGGACCCCCATCCCCTCCAGCGATGACAAAAACGGCGGGAACGACGCGCAGCGGCTGTTGTAAACGGAGCCATCGTTCCAACAGCGCTTGCCGGTGTTGAAATAATTTGTGTCCGACGGCGGCGACTGGCGGGCCTTTGAACGTCGCTTCCTCGCTCATCAAGAGATGTCCGGGTGGACGGACAACGAGGCGCTGCGTGCCTTGCCGGCCACGTTGGACGATGACGCTCTCGCCACCCTCATCTCGGCCCCCAAGTCGGCGCGTGCTACACTGCAGTCGGCGCTCCGAGTCCTCGCCACTGTCTACGGGCCGCCATCGGACTGTCGCCAACTGTTCCACGAGCGGCGCAGGGGCCAGAAAGAGTCGCCGCTTGCGTATCGCACGGCTCTCCTGGCCCTTGCAAAAGCGGCTTTCCCGCGCATGGACTGCGAGGGGGTGGACGCGATGAGGGGGGTGACGGGGCTTGATTTGTTCGGGCTGCACCAGGGGCTCCTCGCTCCGAGAATGACGAAAACATGGGCCCGACTTCCATGCAACATGAACTCTCTGTAGCAGAATAGATGGGAACGTACTGCCCTCTACTGCCTGAGTCGTGACGTAGCCAACACGGTGGCGTGTAGCCTAGCACAGCAATATCGTCAAGGCTCGAATATTGCAACTCGCTACTTTACGGGATGTCTGGAAAAAAAATATTTGCAAACTGCAGAGTTTATAAAACACGCGTCGTGATGGGTTCTGCAAGATGGGGCCGTGTCTGTCGAGTGCTCGGCGAGCTGCATTGCCGAACTCGTTCATTCTCAAGGTCGCACTTATTACACCCAAAGTTCTTGCCACAAATGAACCGCAGTACCACCTTGCTGAGATCGTCAAGGAGCATGAACCATGGTCACGTGATCTCTGGTTATCATCATCACTGCGGCTTTTGGCTCACCCTCGGTCACTGCATCGCTTGCTTTCAGATGTGTTTCTGCGACCGTCTGGAACGCTCTGCCTTCCGATATAAGGAAGCTACTCAGCTGTGCACTTTTACATCATCTGAATTGACAAACTAATTTCTTTATAACTGCGTTCTTGTGTTTAGTTTGTTGTCGTTTCCTCGCACCTCCGATTAGCACAGTTGGCTAGGTATTGTAATAAAGAAGTTCAACACACATACACATATACATGGACCAGAGGTCACTCTGTGGGATGTCAGAGGTAGTTGTGTGATATCTACTTCTGTGGTCCATGCTCTTCACACGAAAGGTTGCGCTGCACTTTGAGGGATCCAATGGATTCTAGATCTCACGACATGTTACCACTATAAGGGTCACAAATATCTGGGTTCAACTCCTGGCTATAATTATCATCAACACCGATGTCCAATTGCCATCAAAACGTGATACAGCTGCTCACCCCGAGCTACAAACGCTCTGATAGTGCATTGTCTTTGTACTGTTCACATTTAGGCATTCTCTGGTCTGATACTGGTGAGACGAGGCCATAGAGAAGTCTGTCCTATGGAGTAGAACAATCAGTTTCAAAGACAATTCATATCTTATTAGAGCCAAGTCTGTTTGCATGCTCACCACAAGTACTGTGTATGGTTAATGCGACACTTAATGTCTTAAAAAAGGTTTCTATTCGGCGTTTGAACATCTTAACACACCTCATGTTCTATTGCCAGCAAGGGTAAAGCCTATTCTTATTTTCCATACGAGATGTACTAAAGTGGGCGCTGTGTGTTGTTGTTTCCCTAGAATTTGTCGTCGTCACCCCAGAGAAAATGAATGCCGTAGTAGGCAGAAAGATTCTCCTGCCCTGCTCTTACACCTGTACAATCAGCGGTGTTACCCACACGCTGGTGGAGTGGTTCAGAAGGGATGGACGTGAAGAAGAGAGGGTGAGTTACAAATCTCTCTATCTTAGCAAGACATTTAAATGCAGGAAAACCTTGCCTAATGCGGCTTTCTCGAACACGTCTTTGATTCTACGTGGTTTGTCGGAACACGGGGGGGCTGTGGGGGGGGTGATCCATAATACAGGTTGCTTTGGGTTAGATCGTTTGTCTGTCCATTTGTCCATCAACAAAACTTTAAGAGCCTTTCAGAAGTCCTGAATCAAAAAGTTACAGAAAGTGGGGGTTAACGTTTTTCTACATGGTTTTCAAAAATTGTCGACTCTCCCTCCCCAATTTTGTTTTACCCCTTCCCCCACCCAATTGTATTCATTTATTTTGAAGGCATATATAGCTACACACCCTACACACAATAGCATCAGTAGTATCAAGTAATGTTCATTCTAGGACTATGCATACGTAGCCAGTGGTGAAGGGTGGGTGGATGATCCCAAACCCCGTCTCAAAATACTCTCTCCCAGGGTTATATTGATATACATTTTGGTAGACAATGCAATTAGCATGCATGTGCTGGAAGACTGTTTGATATGTACAAAAGCTATGACGTCACATGGCATTGTGATGTCATAACGTCCATACATGCGACTGCAAATGTATAGCTCGTATCCAGGTCTCGTGTATGTATGTACTGTACGTTGAACTTATTTCGCATGATACCGAGCCAACCGTGCTAACTCTACATCTTACAACCTTCTGTATTTTGATTCCAGTAAAAATCATCCAACAGATGTTAAAGACATCCTTATTCATTCTAGGTGCAACAGCTTTTGGCTGGCCATCGAACAAAGATGGTCACCGCATCGCGCGGTGTCACATGCGACGCTGCTGCGGCCATCTGGAACGCTCTGCCTTCCGATATTAGGAAGCCACTGGAGCTACGCACTTTTAAATCATCATCTAGATCGAAAACTCGTTTCTTTAAAACTGATGTTTGTATTTAGTTTGTTGTCCTTCCCCCGCACCTCCGATTAGCACGGTTGCCTATGTACTGTGTCAAATAAGTTCAACATACATACAACATACATACAACATACATACAAAATACATACAACATACATACAACATATGTACAACATACATACAACATACATACAACATACATACAACATACATCTTTGATCTGAGGATGCTCTCGCTTTTGTTGACCACAGATTTATCTATTCCCCAATGGAAATAGCAGCAGCGGGCCTTTACAGGCGTCCTGGATGGGTGATGTGTCCAAGTGCAACGCCTCCATCACCGTCAGTGACATCAAGACCCACGACTCTGGGAAATATCGCTGTGAGGTCACGGTCTATCCACAAAACATCCACGACATTGGGTATCTACAGCTGAATGTCAACAGTCCATCAGGTTTGTGTTATTTTCTTCAAACGCCGTCTACATTACCACCCACAACTCTATCATCTATCCTATAGACCTGATATTGAACTCAACATGTACACTTTAGAGCCATGGGTCCAGTGCCACGGTGAACTGGGTTCAACCCCTGGCTACGATCTCGTCACCACCAATGTACTTCAGAACCTTTAACTGCTCCTCACCGACATTTATGCAGTCTTAAAACAACTTCGCATAGGAGGTGACTCAGAGGTCAGAGTTCTGAGCTAGCGCCACTCAGAAGCATGGGGTCAAGTCCAGACATTTGCCCTCGAGTTCACCGAGACCTAAAGTCGAGTGAGTTGATGGACTAAGCCCCCATTTCTACAATTCTGCACTTAATTCACGAAATTAAAACTCTGATAATTAAAACGTATCGGGTTAATTGTCACGTGATAAATGCTGTTCCATGTGGAAAAGCAATTTAGCAAAGTCCTGCTCCAAACTGCGTGGACCAGCAGAGATCGCTTGAATGAATCTCAGAGTCAGCTCTGTGATATCCGCTCTGCGGACTGTTCTCTAGCAGGACACGTTGCACTACTCTGTGAGCAATCCAAATTAATGTTTATATTAGTGGCGGGACACAGGGATAACATTTGGTAACGTAATTTGTTTTTCGAGGAAACCCTTGCCCAGCGCGGCTTCATCTAACGCGTGTTTTGGCTCTAGACGGTTGTGGCTGAAGGGGTTTGTTTTCCACAACATGGGGGTGATATTTCAGTGATACGCAGTTTGACGCTGCTAACATTTTCGCATCTGCATGAAAAAATGTAGTCACGTGAGAGTGCTGTATTTACCGTGTCTGTCTGTGTGCGCGTGTGGGTGTGTTTTTTGTGTGATAATGTAATGCACTTAAAACGCACAGCAACAGCACAACGTCAATGTTCACACATTACAGCATGCATTTGGTTATTGAGAACGTTAGTCATACGGACGACTAGATGGTGAAGAATAGGGTGTGGGTGCCGTGGTGTGGGCAGAATGGAGACGGAGGTTTTGTGTTGCGTTGAAATTGACAAAGAGTGTACACACACACACAAGACACGAGAACGACTCAGAATCCGTTAGTACAATAACGAGGGCGGGCATCTTGTAGTATTAGTTAAACAAAGAGGGAGGGGTGATCATTTCGAAGGCACAAAGGCAACCCGAGTCTTCCCACGAGGTCCATTTTGTTATTTAACAAAGTTTTGTACTTGAAAAATGCATTGTTACTGACAAATGTTTTGCGTTTATACATTTACATTAGATAAGAAAATATACTAATGTGGGCATTGTGTGTGGTTTCCTTAGATCTGGTGGTTGTGACCCCAGATAAAATGAACGCCATGGCAGGCACTACATTTCTGCTGCCCTGCGTCTACACCTGTACAATCAGCGGTGTTACCCACACGCTGGTGGAGTGGTTCAGGATCATAGACGGGCGAGAAGAGAGGGTGAGTTACTCCTCTGTCCGCTCTGTGCGCCATTTGCCGCTAAATTGCAGAAAGCACAAACGTGGAATTGATCAGTCTTGTTAGTAAACCTGGTCACATGACCCTTGAGCATTTACAATATCCAACGCAGATGAACAGGTTTGGTATTCATATTCTTAGTTCTTTCGGTAAAGTCACGTAAATAGAATACCAAAAAATGTAACCATTTAAATACTAAAAAATATAACTAATAAATAGAAAATAATTAAAGCAAAAACCCCACGAAGTTTGGATCGCAACACGAGCGGTCTTCTTCAGGTGGAGAGAATATAATTAGTTCCTGTAACACATTCTATCCACCTGAAGAAGATCACTTGTGTTGCGAACGAAATTTCGTTCTTTTTTTATTTCAATTTTTATTTTAGTTTTCTATCTACGTGACTTTACCGAAAGAACCAAGAATATGAATTCCTGCAGTCACGAAAGTTTTAAGTCTATAATAAATGGTAATTTATCTCGATCAGAGTATATAAAAATATAATTTTACAAATAAAAAAAAATAATTACATTACTGGATTCTAGATTTGAAACTTTCGTGACTGCAAGAATTCATACTCTTTGGTTTTATTCGGCTAAAGTCACATAGATAAATTAAAACAAAATAAATCACGACGTTTCGGAGGCAACACAAGCTTCCGTCTTCAGGTGGAAAAGTCAACGCAGAATATTTGTGTCAGGAGCACAGTTCAGAGACCGGGATTATATACAGGCTAAGGGAGGGGGGAGGAGTCAGTAAGGGGGCGTGGGTGGGTGGGAGGGTTGGGCTAAGCAGCCTTTTGATAGAATGCTGCGGGTAACACCCAAAGTGCTCACATCAAAGGGCCCCTCGATGTGAGCTCACACCAAAGGGCTCCCCGATGCGAGCTCACATCAAAGTGCTCACATCAAAAGGCCCCTCGATGTGAGCTCACATCAAAGGGCCCCTCGATGTGAGCTCACATCAAAGGGCTCACATCAAAAGGCCCCTCGATGTGAGCTCACATCAAAGGGCTCACATCAAAAGGCCCCTCGATGCGAGCTCACATCAAAGTGCTCACATCAAAGGGCCCCTCGATGTGAGCTCACATCAAAGTGCTCACATCAAAAGGCCCCTCGATGTGAGCTCACATCAAAGGGCTCCCCGATGCGAGCTCTCTGTGAACGCGATCAAACGGCACTATGATATACAACCACTGAGGAATGGCTGTACAAAAAATTGAAAGGCAGCTAACGTTTGACTTGATTTAAAACATCTTTCCAGTGATTACAAACACGAGATCCAGGTCCGGTTCAACACAGTGCACAAAATCCGTGATCTGATCCCGTCAGTAAAGATGTGATCCCTGACCTACAGTACCCCGGTGTTTACAAATTGAGTTGTACCTGCGGGGACTGCTATATCGGGGAGACGAAGCGACATATCTTTGACCGAATCCGCGAGCACAAATCAGATTTTAAACACGACAGAACAAATTCTTCTGCCGTGGCTGATCATTGTTACAACGCTGTGTGTGATCATGATATTGTCTTCTCCGACACCAAGGAGCTCTGCAAACCTACAGGCTATTATCAGAGATTTGTCCACGAGGCCATCCAGATTTACAAACACAGACACAACTTCAACCGAGAGGATGGTCTCAAATTGAGTAATCACTGGAAATATGTTTTAAATCAAGTCAAACGTTAGCTGCCTTTTAATTTTTTGTACAGCCATTCCTCAGTGGTTGTATATCATAATGCCCTTTGATCGCGTTCACAGAGAGCTCGCATCGGGGAGCCCTTTGATGTGAGCTCACATCGAGGGGCCCTTTGATGTGAGCCCTTTGGGTGTTACCCGCATCATTCTATCAAAAGGCTGCTTAGCCCAACCCTCCCACCCACCCACGCCCCCTTACTGACTCCTCCCCCCCCCTTAACCTGTATATAATCCCGGTCTCTGAACTGTGCTCCTGATACAGATATTCTGCGTTGACTTTCCACCTGAAGTTGGAAGCTTGTGTTGCCTCCGAAACGTCGTGATTTTCTTTTATTTTGTTTTAATTTATCTACATCACTGGAACCATGTACATGCAGTAATCGACTTACGAACATTCAACTTAAGAACGGGTCACAGGAACTAATTATATTCGTAAGTTGAGGACTGCTCTAAAGTGCGCTACAGCTTCTGCTGTATCTGTATCTGCTCACGTTCATTCTAGAACTCTAGGCATACCTTTGCCAGTGGTGAAGGGTGGGTGGTGATCCAAACCATGTCTCAAAATACTCTCTCCCAGGGTTATATTGATATACATTTTGGTAGACAATGCAATTAGCATGCATGTCCTGGTAGACTGTTTGATATATACAAAAGCTATGACGTCACATGGCATTTTGATGTTATAACATCCGTACATATGACCGTGAATGTATAGCTCGTATCCAGGTCTCGTGTATGTATGTACTGTACGTTGAACTAATTTCGCATGATACCGAGCCAACCGTGCTAACTCTACATGTGACCATCTGCTGTGATTTGATTCCGGTAAAAGGCGTCCAACACATGATAAAGACTTTCTTATTCATTGTAGGTGCGAACTCCGGTTATCCTCACAGCAGGATTTGGCTGGCCATCGAACAAAGATGGTCACCGCATCGCGTGGTGTCACATGCGCTGCTGCGGCCATCTTGAATTCTCTGCCTTCCGATATTAGGAAGCCACTGGAGCTACGCACTTTTAAATCATCATCTAGATTGAAAACTCGTTTCTTTAAAACTCCTGTATGTGTTTAGTTTGTGGTCCTTCCCCCGCACCTCCGATTAGCACGGTTAGCTATGTACTGTGCCAAAGAAGTTCAACATAAATACAACATACATACAACATACATACAACATACATACATCTTTGATCTGTGCATGCTCTCGCTTTTGTTGACCACAGATTTATCTATTCCCCAATGGAAATAGCAGCGGCGGGCCTTTACAGGCGTCCTGGATGGGTGATGTGTCCAAGTGCAACGCCTCCATCACCGTCAGTGACATCAAGACCCACGACTCTGGGAAATATCGCTGTGAGGTCACGGTCTATCCACAAAACATCCACGACATTGGGTATCTACAGCTGAATGTCAACAGTCCATCAGGTTTGTGTTATTTCCTTCAAACGTCGTCTATATTACCACCCACAACTCTGTCATATATATGTAGTGCTGTGAATTCACTCGGACGACAACCGTCTCTTTTTCCGCCGTCACTTTTATTCCATCGTTCTGTACACACAGCAATTCTCTCCGTGCTCCGCCAACTCGGACACTCCGATTTACTTCAGTATCGTCCGTGCATCCCCTTCCACACACAGTGTTTCTTCGCCTATCTCTTCACACACAGTATCCTGTCTGTCTATTCACACACAGTGACTTCTATCTATTCACACGCAGTGACTTCCATCTATTCACACACAGTGACTCTATCTATCTCCGCTAACGCTGACTCTCCCTATCGCTATTTACTGTCTTTGGGGTCCGGCTCTCTATCTATTCTTCCCTAACATTTCCACCTGTCTTCTTCGTATCTCTTCACCTCTCGCCAACAACTGCCCAGCAACAACTCTCCAACAACAACTCCCCAGCAGCAACTCTCCAACAGCAACTCCCCAACAGCAACTCCTCTCCGTTCAAACCACCTCGCGTTTTATCCCCTCTCGCATTAGCCTTAATTAATTGCCACGTGGCTCGCTGGCCGTTTCCCGCCAGCCCGCACCTGTCCTCTTCCTCAGACATTCAGACGCCACCACTTAACGCTAACAGCCTCTCGACCAATCACAGCCCTCGTGCCACGCCTCCCTTAATTACTTGGGTTTGTTTACGCCACTCGCGACTCGACCACCTGTTCGACCTCGTGTGACCCGTTCTCCTTGTCTGTCTGTATGTACTGTATATGGCCAATTCCTCTGCGCATTATCTACTCCACTACATATACCACAGACCTGATATAGAACTCAACATCTACACTTTAGAGCCATGGGCCCAGTGCCACGGTGAACTGGGTTCAACTCCTGGCAACGATTGCAGTCTTAAAACAACGTCGTATAGGAGGTGACTCAGAGGTCAGAGTTCTGAGCTAGGGCCACTCAGAAGCATGGGTTCAAATCCAGACATTTACCTGCGAGTTAACCGAATCCTAAAGTCGACGAAATTAAAACTCTCAGAATTTAAAGTATCTAGTTCATTGTCACGTGATAAGTGCTGTTCCATGTGGAAGAGCAATTTGGGAAAGTCCTGCTCCAAACTGCGTGGACCAGCAGAGGTCGCTTGAAGGAATCTCAGAGTCAGCTCTATGATATCCGCTCTGCGGACTGTTCTCTAGCAAGACACGTCGCACTACTCTGTGAGCAATCCCAATTAATGTGTATATTAGTGGTGGGACACAGGGATAACATTTGGTAACTAAAAAATATACAGAGGAAACCCTTGCCCAACGCAGCTTCATCTAAGGCGTGTTATGGATCTAGACGGTTGTGGATGATGGGGTTTGTTTTCCACAACACGGGGGTGATATTTCGGTGATACGCAGTTTGACGCTGCTAACATTTTAGTATCTGCATAAAATATTTTTAAAAACTTTTTAAAAACATGCTTTCATGAAATTTACTTGCAATGGAAGAACTCCGCGACTCCAGGAAGTGGCCCCGAAGCTTGCCATAACGTAAGGGATCGTGGCCAATTACAGCCAACGTCAGTTGACCGTGGGCAATTAGACCTAAGCCGAAACATAACATATAAAAAATATTGTTTGAAAAAATATATTTTTTTATGATAGAATATAGTATTGTCATCAGTTTGACATAAGTATACCAAGTTTGCAGTCGATATCACATTTGGAAGTGGGTAAAAATTGAGTTACAATATTTGAGGATACAACGACAACAGCAGAGTGAGTCTGTGCACGTGTGGGTATGGTTTTTTTGTGTGATAATGTAATGCACTCAAAACGCACAGCAGCACAACGTAAATGTTCACACATTACATGATGCATCTGTTTATTTAGAAAGAGGTATATAGACGACTAGATGGTGAATCATTACATGTTTAAGTGACAGTGTTAGTGGCGAGTGTAGGGTGTGAGTGCCGTGGTGTGTGAAGAATGGAGACGGGGGCTTTGTGTTGCATTGAAATTGACAAAGTGTGTACACACACACAAGACACGAGAAGGACTCTGCATCCGTTAGTACAATCACGAGGGCGGGAATCTTGTCGTATTAGTTAGACAAAGAGGGAGGGGGTGATCATTTTGAAGGCAGGAAGGCAACCTGAGTTTTCCCACGAGGTCTGTTTTATGTCTAACAAAGTTGTGCCCAACATGGCATTTTCCAGGAATCGCACACATTAGTATATTTTCTTACATAATGTAAATGTGTAATCGCTAAACATTTATCAGTAACAATGCGTTTTAAAAATACAGAACCGGCAGACCTCATCTAACGCAGGAATTACGCTCCTGGAAAATGGCGCGTTGGGCTAAACCGCGTTCGGTAAATAATAGACCTAATGGAAAAAACTAAGGTTGCCTTCCTGGGTCCGAAATCATCACCCCCTTCCTCTTTGTTTTACAAATTCTAAATAATGTTGGTGTTTGTTTTTGTACTAAAGGATGGTGAGTCGCTTTCTATTTCTTGTGTGTGTGTGTGCACTCTTTAGTTTTCACTATCGCCTGAACACAAAACCTCCTTCTCCACTTCTCATCCCGTACCACGGTACTCACGCTCAACACTCGTACTTAACAGTCACTTGAACGTTAAATGATTTGCCATCTTGGCATTCGTTTGACATTGTCATCAGTGAATGGACGGGTAGATGCATGCGGCAATATGTAAACATTTGCGTTGTACGTGTTTAGTATGTAACGTTATCACACAAAAAACACAAACGCACAAAAAACATAGGTGGTAAATAAATAGTTCTCACAGTAGATTCATTCACACCTTCCAACGGATGCAGCACCCTTTGAAACAAAGATTATAATCTTAGCGTAAAACCACGCAGAGCTGAACAATCACCCCATGTTCCGGAAAACGACCCACATCAGGTAACCAGTGCAGAGTCGCATTCAACAAAGCTGCATTGGGCAAAGTGTCATGCATCAAACATTACACACATTTCTCGATAATTGGTTACGTGGTCTAACCCCCAAAAACTTATGTTATGGATAACATTGGTCGCGAAAGCCTATGTGTTAAACATTACTCGATTTTGCAATGCACTATCGGAAAATAATCCTCCCTGCTGTGGGGATCCAATGTCACTTAAACTTACTCTAAACGGATCTTTATATATGTGGAAGGGAAATCCGGAGGACCCGGAGAAAAATCCACGCGACCCACGGGGACAGTAAACACGCAAACTCTAAACACACATCAGCAGGTGTCAGGGTCGGGCTCGAAACCACGTGCCTTCCTACCAGGCGAGTTAGTTAACATCACACCACCTCGGCTTCACTGGAAGAGACCTCAGAGGTAGCTCTAAGATATCCCCTTCTGTGGACCGTTCTCAAACATGCAGCATTGCACTGCTCTGCTAGAGACCGAAAGAGATGCTTCGTCTAACGGAAAGTATTTGCCCACTTTCTCTGTCCTAATTGTCACCACTGCGTTATGAGACCAGCACCTCCTCCTTCCCACTGCTAATGTGACCATCGTGGGTTTGTCCACAGACCTGGCCGTTGTCACCCCGGATGCAAAGGATGCCACAGCAGGCAGCACGGCTCTCCTGTCCTGCTCTTACACCTGCAACATCACGGGTATTAGACACACGCTGGTGGAGTGGTTCAGGACCATAGACGGACAAGATGAGAAGGTGCGTTACTGTCACACTTGCACACTATTACTTACACCCTCCTGCTCACAATGATGAGTAAATGTTATTTATTAACGCCCGTTCATGCTAATTTATTTCAATGAAGGTCACCCCCTCTCCTTTTCTGGTCCCATTGTCAATTTTAAAGTTTTTCAGACAGCAGCATTGTATTGTATCTTCAAGTAGAATAATCTCAAATTCTCTCCGTTCTCTCTACTCTGAAGAAGAGTCATTTCCTAGGTGTATTATATATTTATCTGTTATAATTCAACGTTATTTACATATGTCAGTTTTCGGAATATGAGCACGTTTAATATGTGGACACATAGTCATGCCCTGTCGTGTTCTCACGTTTGCTGTCAAGGTTTATAAGATCATATACAGAAAGAGAAGCCTCAGGCCGATGCAGGTGACTTGGGTGGGTGATGAGTCCACGTGTAACGCCTCCATCACCATCAGCGACATCCAGACCCACGACGCTGGACGATATCGCTGTGAGGTCACGATTTATCGATACGACAAGTCAAGCACGGAAGACATTGGGTATCTGCAGCTGAACGTTCACAATGAACCAGGTTTGCATTATGTCCTCCCTGGATCTATTTAACACCCACTACTTTATCATTCTCGCTAAGCAAGAATGCAAATTCTCTTCATTGTCCAAATTTACCACTAAAATTCACTCTGTGGTACAGGCATAAAGGGTCTTTGTTATTCTTCACAGTATATAACATCACTTAGTATAAGAAACTCGACTCTTTGTTGAGTTGTCTACATGAGCCAATGACAGCTTAAGTTCCTGTCTGTGTCTGTGTCCCATGAGATTGTTGTCCACTTGTGGGATGTGGAATGCTTTGATGTCGGAAAAAATAGTTTCTTAGCTCAAAGGGCTTTACTCAGGAAATAAGTTTCTGATTCGGATTCACTTCAAGTGCCGATGTGGGAGCTGCAAGGCGATTTACAGCGTCAACAGGAAACCGGCACAGTGATGATTGACCTCTCCTGCTGGCTGTCCATGACTCCGTTTGGCGTTACTGGCCCCAAAAGTCATCAAATGAATTCTACCGTTCACCTTATGAACACGATGCTGGGCAAAACGTGCGTTGAGGGTGAACACCTCACCGGTGAACACAGTCGCAGGAGAATCATGAACAATGGCCTCCCTCTAGGCTCGGTTATTATAGCACCGTTACTATTTAACATTCACAGGCAGGCCTCGCCGGACGTGGGAGTTACGTTCCTAGAAAATGACTTGTTAGGCAGAACTGCGTTCGACATGTAATTATTGACATTGTGGGAACACTAGGGTTGCCTTTCTGGGCCCGAAATGATCACCCCTCCTCTGTGTTACTAATTCTACAAGATTTCTGCCCTTCTTATTATACTAAAGGATGCTGAGTTACTCTCCATTTCTTGCGTGTGTACACTCCTGAACATGAAACCCCCGACTCATTCCCGCACCGCAGAACTCGCGTCCAATGCTCGCCCCTAACAATTATTATTCCCAGCCCGACGCTTGCCCCTGACTCTGTCGCCGATTCGCCATCTAAAGTCTTTAATGAATGGACGGCGAGATGCTTACGGCACTGTGAACATTCCCACTGCATCACTGTGCATGTGGAGTGTGTTACTTTGTCACACAAAAGACTCTCAAAAACACACACAAACTAAAAGATGCAATGGTAATTAAATAGTTCTTACAGTCGATTCATTCACACTTGCAATGGATGGATCATCCTCACGGCACTAGTTTTAGACACGGAGATGAGAGTCTTAGCAGCGTCCAGCTGAAACATCACCTCCCGTGTTCCAGAAAACAGACCTCATTAGGTCTTGCACCGCGTAGAGCCAGAACGCGTGTTTGATACATCCACAGCGCGTCTGCTCCTCCTGACAACCAGTAGGAGCAGATGCTGTGCAGCAGCGAAACGAGGATGGTGCGATGGATCTCAGCGATCACAGCACTGGATCGGTCAGAACTGAAGAGCTGGGGAAGGAGGCGGGAGTGGCGGTGCTCATCTCGCTCGAGCGGAGAGAGGGGGTCGGCTCACACGGCTGGGGCTGCCTTAGTAGAGGAGGGGGCAACCGCAAGGGCGATGAACGTGGAGGCACCAGGGCAGAGTCAGAGGGGCAGGCCGAGAGCGAGGGGAGTAGAAGTGGCGAACGCGGCGGATTCGAGGGACTGGGGAGTAGACGCGGAGGTGGCCCAAGGCAGCAACGAGCAGAGCAGGAGGAGCTGCAGGGCAGAGACCGCACGAGAGGAGGGGGACAAGGCAGGAAGAGGAAGAAGACGTTGACTGCGTCCATCTCGTGGGTGTTCACGTGTTGCTGTGTCGTCTGTGTTTGTGTTTAATAGAACCGACAGACGCAACACTGACGCCAACCTCAATCCCAGCTCCAACCCCAGCTCCATCAACTGTAGCTGGCATCGTGGTTGGAGTCATTGCTGCTCTGGGTGCTGTTGCTGCAGTTGTTATTTACTGCCGGAAGAAGAGACCACGTCTCTCACACTGCACGAGATGGACAAGGACGAGACCACGTGAGCCAAGAGAATCAGAAGCCCCGTGAGTATCGACCGCACTTGCACCAGAACCTCACAGTGAGTGATAGAACACGGCTCATAATGGCCACGCCAGAGACCCCTGATCCGGCCCTCTCCAAGGGCCTGAGTTTGACTCCAGCTCCCTGCCTGCCCGTGACCCAGAGCTGTGCTCAGTGGAGCCTGCGTGAGCTCCTGGCAGCTGGGACCCCTGAGTTAGACTCCCAGCCGTGGCTGCTGTCAGTAACGGGGGCTCCATATGAGTGGGGGTGGTGATGTGAGACTGCATCAGTCATAGGAGACAATGGTCTCAATGGGCTCTCACGTAGTTAAATAAAATACATCACAAGAGACAATTATGTCAATGGGCTCTCACTTGGATAAACGATGGATATCTGTGAAATCAGGGTCAGTGATTGCTGTTGTCAGTGGTTCAATGCGGGTGCCAGGCAGGTGTGAGGCGTCGGTTAGACTCCCAGCCGTGCCAGTGACACAGGCTGCATGTGGACGAGGGTGGGGGTGTGTGACCGATGCTTGTCCACTTCTCTCTCAACAGGGCTCAAGAAATGCAGCCAATGAACCCAGTTGGAGAAGATGCAGGAGCAGGTGAGAGTGACAGAGGTATGAAGCAGGAACCACTCTCGTCAGGATCATTCTTTCTGTGTTTGTGTGTTTGTGTGAACTGCGCTAAGAGCCAGCGACCTGGGTTCAATTCCTTAACCTCTGTGCGTTGTGTAAACGCCAGCACTGCTGAGACAAAGGCGGCCGGGCGTGGTGCTGGCCACATCACCCTCTCGAGGTGTTACTCGCTAGCAGCACTTGCCTCGACTGACTGGTCAAGGCTACATCATGGGGGACCGTTGTGTTTGTTACGCAAGTTTGTCATGGCAGGGGAAGTGACTTTGATTCATCAGCCGGGTGCTTGAGGCTGGAAATAAGCCCCCTCCCCCCCCCCCCCCTGTTACGATGCATGCAGGGGCACGTGCAGGACGCTAGGAATCGCGTGGCCAGGATAGGGTAGACAACTTAGAGACAGTGCCGGATGAAGCTCGTGCGGGGCCTGTAGGAAATAACGTTATATAGGGGCCCTAAGATGTTTGTAAAAAAACACGAAAATATTAAAACATACATTTTAAATCTTGATTTGAAGCTTTCGTGACTGCAGGAATCCATACTAGTTGGTTCGTTCGGTAAAGTCATCACGTAGGTAGACAAATACTAGATCACGACATTTCGGGCGCAACACAAGGTCGTGATTTATTTTATTTTATACCTACGTGACTTTAACTTGCAGAGTAAAGTAATTGTACATAATAAAGGTTTTTGGGTTAGATCGCGTTTATTTATAAATGTGTCGTAACCCTCCACCACCCGACACGGCCAATCAGCAAAAAAAAGTGTCACGTTGACAAAAGACAAATAATTCACTACTTCAGCCCACCGGTGTGTTGAAGAGTTAATCCACATTTACAGTTTGAGTACGACGTTTCGCTGGTAAATACATCCAGCATCATCAAGCAATTCGCCAGAATGGTAAAGCCCTCGCTTGCTCCCGGTTTTTATATAGAGCAGCAGGGTGACGTCATCACTTAACTCATATCAGGTGCACTGATTAGAGGCGGAGGGGGGGGGTATTGTAATTATATAATCGATTAGTAATCAGTCATTGGTTATGATTAGTAATGAGTTGTAGATTAGTAATTCTTTAAATGTAATGTGTATTATTTAATAATACGCTTCCAGGCCGCACTAAGCCGGTAGCTGTCAGAGCGATTAAAGTTATTCTTGTTCCTCTCAATTTCAATGGATTCTTTAATTAGTCTTTGCCAGTAATAATTCGTTTTACACACCACTGCAACATTGTCAAAATCAATTGAGTGTCCTTGTTGACAAGCATGTTCTGCCACTGCCGACAGTTGTGTTTGAGATAATTTAATATTTCTCTGATGTTCTTTTAGTCTTACGCTGATGTTACGTCCCGTCTGCCCAATGTAGCAGCTGCCACATGAACAATTAATCCGATATACACCTTCTGTAATTGTACTTTTTCATTTGCTATGCAGCCAGATAATGACAAATCTCTAAACTTAAACACCCAGTCGTTCACAAAAGTTGAAGGTGGTATAGTACTATAGTAATAGAGCAAGTGCAGAATCACTGAACCGGAATTGATATCTAGAAAGCATTTAGCGCAGGGCCCTTGAAAGTGCGGGGCCCATAGCATATGTAGCTACTTTTGCTACTACGATAATAAGACACTGATTAGTAGCACATGCCATTGTTGCTACTAGGATAATGCGGCACTGCTTGGAGGTTGTGAATGCGAGAAGGGTGGTCCAGACCGTCTGGGAAGAGAAGGGGAGTGCTCAACAAATTGCTTAAATTCTGGCTCGCAGCTCTAGTCAATAATACGTTATTACGTTTTGGTGAATGATCGATTGTTCTGTTATGATGTTTTAAAGCAACAACATTACAAGCAGTAATTAGGCTTGGTTTGGTCTTCATATAACTTACTTTGTTTTAGAAAATGTATAACGACTGGGGAAGCCCACCCCAGAATTAGCGCGGTATTTCAGTGGCACACTGGGTGCGTGTGTGTGTGCTGAGTGGACTTGCCGATGAACGCTACCAGTGGTGTCAAGATCGGCCTCTGTGCCGGAGGTTCATGAAGGATGCTGCTGAGCAGCTGGAGGCAGTCGCCCTCCAACAACAACGGAGGGCAGAGGAGGCGGCTAAAGCGCAGAAAGTTGTCACAGTAGGGGGCACAGGTGGCGCGTCTGCCAACCATCTCAGTCACTCCACGAGACCTGAGTCTGTTCCGTGACCTCCTGCCAGCGAACCTTTGACAAATCACGGAACCTCAAAGTGCACCTAGCATGGCACAAGCGCGGTTGTGACGTCACTGCCACGTTGTGAACGGCTGTTGTTGTTATACACGAACCTGCATTCGTTATCTATGCAAGTGTTGCACAATCCTACACTTCTAGATTTAAAGCTTTCGTGACTGCAAGGATCCATGCTCTTTGGTTCTATTCGGTAAAGTCACGTAGGTAAAAAATAAAACAAGAAAAATCACGACGTTTCGGCCACAACACAAAAATTCGTGATCTGATCCCATCCGTGAAGGATGTCATTCCTGACTTACAGTACCCTGGGGTTTACAAATTGAGTTGTACCTGCGGTGATTGCTATATCGGGGAGACAAAGCGACATGTCTCCGACCGAATTCGCGAACACAAATCAGATTTGAAACACGGCAAAACGAATTCTTCTGCCGTAGCTGATCATTGTTACAACGCTGTGGGTGATCACGATATAAATTTCTCCGATACCAAGGTTCTTTGCAAACCCACGGGTTTTTATCAGAGATTTGTTCACGAGGCAATTCAGATCTACAAACACAGACACAATTTCAACGGAGAAGATGGTTTCAAATTAAGCAACCATTAGAAAGATGTTCTAAATCGAACCAAACATTAAACTAATTTTCAATGGTACAGTATATTTTCCAAAGTAGTGGTACCCCAAACTTCCGCAGCTCTTAATTTCCCTTTTCACACCATCAATAGGTAAACTCCCCCTCCCCTCCCCCGCGCCAACTGGCATGTGCACCCACATGTACACCACCTCTACACCACCTCTATGCTAAGTCGGCCAATCAAATGCTAATTTTTATGCTAATTCCTTTGTCAAGGCACCTTGTTTCCTCGCACACAGCTTAAAGGTCGCGGTCTGAGCGTGGCTGTGTTTCACTCCAGCGCTGTCCTCGAGACAGCCTGATCCCTTCACCTGATGAAGGCCGCTTGTGATGTGGCCGAAACGTCGTGATTTTTGTTGTTTTATTTTTTACCTACGTGACTTTACCGAATAGAACCAAAGAGTATCAATCCTACACTGTTCACTTGACCTCATCACGCACTCATCACTTACCTCTCTTTATTTAACAGGTCAAGTTGCACCGGCAGAGGAAGGAGATGAGCCAAACGATGAAGAAGGAGAACGTGAGACCTCAACTTAGAGAAGCCAGAAGTCCAGCCAACCAGTCTCAAACCACCTTAGCAAATGCAGCAACTTGTACCAATCAACTCACCACTTAACCAATCAACTCACCACTGCTAGAAACTGACCCTCAGAGTCCATGATCAAGACGCCGGCAATGTAGCGACGTGCAGTTGAAACGCAATGCCTCGTGAGGTTAACGTAAAGATACCAAAGTCCTGGTTAGGTCTGGACCGTCTGAAAATGTAGATGTAGAACGGGAGGCCTCAACAGTGTGGGCGTGGTTATAGAAATGTGGGCGTTGCTAGTGGTGGAGGGAGGGGCAACCAGCTGACCACGTGTCACTGTTGAGCCTCCCAGACACGTGGTAGCTTTACGTTCATTTTGCAACGTGCACTGTCGTGCTGCCTCACAAGTGACTGGCATAGAGACCTCGAATATTTACACAGAGACCCACAGATTCACAAAGTGACCAACATATTCGCATGGACACCATAGATTCACGTAGAGATATATTCACAAAGAGACCCAAAAGCTCACATAAAGACCCACTTATGGACACAGAGGCACATAAATTCAGACAGAGACCCAACCACTCACACATAAAGCCAATGGCTCATATAGTGACCCATACATGAAAATATAGACCAGTATACTTTATAGAAACCCATAGACTTAGATAGACACATGGTTGTGATTAAACTGGGCTCTCAAATGCCGTGAGTTTGATGGTCTCAGCCCGGTCACCAATGACTGCACAAAACAAAACCCATCGCGTAAATTTCTCCCATCGTACCTCATTTGTCTGATAATTAAAACGTCTGCTTGGCTGCCACGTGACAACGTCTCAAGGTGAGTCGTGCGAGGCGTTGCGAGCCCAGCTGTGCGGAGGCTATGAAGGGAACGCGAATGATTCTCACGACAGTCCAGTCCCTTGCACAGCCATTTGTTTCACACACCGGGGTCACACCGCTCTGCAACATTTACAAGTGGATTCCTTGAATTATATACTGTTAAAAAAGTGTATTTTTATATTCGAGTACAGCAAACTCTTCCCTCTCGCGGGTTTAGCTATCGCGGTTTTGCAGTTTCGTGCCAAGGCTATTGAGGTACAGAGTTCGCCGATCGTGCCCCTGTGGCTGGACCATTCGCGGTTGATCACGAGATTTCTGTACGCATCGAGCACTGCTCACGATGATGCTGCTGCTGCTGCCGGGGAAGAACACACACAGTGCCATCTTGTCTCAGTCTTGTCTCCGTCTTGTCTCCATCTTGTCTCCGTCTTGTCTCTATCTTGTCTCCCGTCTCTTCTCTCAAGCGGCCCATTGGGGGTCCCGGGTCACGTGGTGTTTCCAGCCTCGAGTGAGGAGGCAGTGAGATTCAGCCGCCCGCCATTTTTCTTTCTATCGTGCGTTAGGAACCGTGAACCAACCCCCATTATCCCCATTTGCCTTCGAGTTTGGGGAAGGCGAATTTTTCGATTGCAGCTTTTTACCAAGAACATAACCCCGGCGATGGGCAAGAGTTTGCTGTAGACTACATGCTAAATCAATGCACCTGTATTTTATTTTTGCAAGGCATAATGCACTTTTATATATTTTGTATGCACAAATTTAATATATATTGAATTTGATTCGAAAATATGTATTACTCAGCGAATTATTGACCTCTTCTATTAACATTGCGAGTAGAGGCCATGTACGAGTATATATTTAAAATCGTAACGAGTATTACTCTGGAAAAATCTTGATAACCCACACGCCTCCGTACATGTTTTTCAGCAAAACCCGACAACGTAGCACCCAAAGCCAACACAACGATGCTGAGTTGTTTGGGGTTTAATGGCAAGAATGTTGACACAGAGCCCAGAAACAAACACGGGTCATTGTGATGGCGACAGTGACGACTGACCTCTATTGGCTGGAAATGCAGGCATACAACTGAGAGCAACTTTGTTTACCAAGAAGGCATCTTGAGCGCTATACGAGGTTTGCCTGTATACAGCAGTCCCTCGGTTAACAGTGGCGTCTGTTAATGGTTGTTCGGTTAACGTTTTGCCTCCCATAGGACCACATGGTTTCTACTAATGTTAACATTGTGATTATCAGAACGTTTACGTTACGCATGCAAGGCGCTAATTTCGGCCAATCTGAGTGCTCTTAAATGGGCAGAGCCATGCCCTCAGCCAATCAACGACGTGCCTTTATGAGCGTTTAGACCTCGACTGGCTTTGTTTAAATTATCACGTGTGCTGTTTTGGCAGTGGAAACAGCTCTTTTGCAGACTAAGTGATTTTGACTTATATTTAAACTCACGAGTGAGTTCTATTAACAGTTATTTTAGTAAACAGAAGTTTTTGTTGATCGGGACAAAATGTTAACCAAAGGACTACTTTATATATATATACCCCAAGGGATGAGGTTGTTCATGCTTGGATATGTAAGCGGTGGGTGTTGTTGACCTGTGTGTAACAGTGTGCAGAAATGATTTCATTTAAGGTAATCATTCGAAAATTGAAACGAAATGTATAATCACAACCTAAAGACTTGTCTGTACACAGTATTTTTCATATACACTCCATCTTCTGCACAAAATGGGTCTTCAGTGAACGCAGTGGCATTTGAATCTTGACGTAACGCTTGACAATGCCACGTATGATTGTCCATGAGCGAAAAAAACTGGCTGCGGCAAATACAATCTGAAATGATGAACGGACTGTCCTTGAGCTTTGTTGATGATCATTGCAAGTGCAACTTGAACAGGGGACTAATTAGATTCGTCCGAGTTGGGACGGAGCAGTTGATTCGTTACCTGATCATTGTAATGCGAGGAATTAAAACTCTTTTCCCATGAAGAGAGCCGGTCATCATCATCGCATCGATGCAATTTCTTGCCAATGGGCAGATTTGAAAATCTCGTTCCATTGCAGATACCTTGTTCTCCAAGGATATTTCGAATCAACATGATTGGCACTCCAACTTTCAAACGTAGCTTGTGAGGGGGCATTAGAGTGAGTGTGAACGTGTTCACAAACCCGTGAGGGTAAAGCCACTGCTGGATATCATGCACTAAACTACTCACTTGTATAGGTAGATGCGTCTGGGTGATTTGTTTACCTTACTGGTATTTGCACTATTGTATATTTTGTGCCGTGATTTTTTCATGTTAAATAAAAAATTTGTATACAGGTATGCAAATTTGTGAAATTATGCTGTTTCATTCAGATATGCAAATGTGGCAAACTTAATAAAATAATGCCACGTGTAATTAATGTTAATTGGTGCTCATTGAGTGTCAGTGTAATGTGATCAATCGTATGTGTGATTAAATGTGCGTAAAATATTAATTGAAAATGTACGTGTATGATGTGTATCATCTATGCGTGTGTGTGAGTGTAGGAGTATTATTAATGTGTGTGTGTGTTTGTATTATGATCAGTAATTGTTGCCATTTTCGTTGTCTAGCGGGTGTTTTGTTTGTGTAATTGTGTGTGATGTGGATGCTTGGCTTCGTTGTCTAGGGGCGGATTACCAATCTTGATAATACGATGATTCTCTCTTAAATATTTCCGATTATGATTTTAGTGTAATTGTGGTGCCACCGCGGCGGAGCAGCTCCGTCGGGGGCCGTATTCACCACCGTGACACCGCCACCGGGGAGTGACGACGCCGACATGTATACACACACGCACCCCACGTAGGGCCGGGAGGGAAGGTCACCTGGCCGACGGGTTTTTATCCAGAAGCCCCTAATGGGATCAAGCTTCATGGCTTCCCGCGGCCGGGAAATTGAGCGACCTACCCCGGAGGCTGACGGGCACCGCGGCGCCGTGACCTGACGTTAAAGTCGCGTGGTCACGGCGGAGGCCGTGGAGCCACTGCGAGCGAAACCGCACACACACGGCACGGGGCGTGGTAACTGCGAGATGCTTTTTGTTATAGATGGAATTAAGAACTGAATCCCTGTTGTTATAGATGGAATTAGGAATTGAATCCCTGTTGTTATAGATGGAATTAGGAATTGAATCCCTGTTGTTATAGATGGAATTAGGAATTGAATTCCTGTTGTTATAGATGGAATTAGGAATTGAATTCCTGTTGTTATAGATGGAATTAGGAACTGAATCCCTGTTGTTATAGATGGAATCAGGAACTGAATCCCTGTTGTTATAGATGGAATTAGGAACTGAATCCCTGTTGTTATAGATGGAATTAGGAACTGAATCCCTGTTGTTATAGATGGAATTAAGAACTGAATCCCTGTTGTTATAGATGGAATTAAGAACTGAATCCCTGTTGTTATAGATGGAATTAGGAATTGAATCCCTGTTGTTATAGATGGAATTAGGAATTGAATTCCTGTTGTTATAGATGGAATTAGGAACTGAATCCCTGTTGTTATAGATGGAATCAGGAACTGAATCCCTGTTGTTATAGATGGAATCAGGAACTGAATCCCTGTTGTTATAGATGGAATTAGGAGCTGAATCCCTGTTGTTATAGATGGAATCAGGAACTGAATCCCTGTTGTTATAGATGGAATTAAGAACTGAATCCCTGTTGTTATAGATGGAATTAGGAATTGAATCCCTGTTGTTATAGATGGAATTAGGAATTGAATTCCTGTTGTTATAGATGGAATTAGGAACTGAATCCCTGTTGTTATAGATGGAATCAGGAACTGAATCCCTGTTGTTATAGATGGAATTAGGAATTGAATCCCTGTTGTTATAGATGGAATTAGGAATTGAATCCCTGTTGTTATAGATGGAATTAGGAATTGAATTCCTGTTGTTATAGATGGAATTAGGAACTGAATCCCTGTTGTTATAGATGGAATCAGGAACTGAATCCCTGTTGTTATAGATGGAATTAGGAGCTGAATCCCTGTTGTTATAGATGGAATCAGGAACTGAATTCCTGTTGTTATAGATGGAATTAAGAACTGAATCCCTGTTGTTATAGATGGAATCAGGAACTGAATCCCTGTTGTTATAGATGGAATTAAGAACTGAATCCCTGTTGTTATAGATGGAATCAGGAACTGAATCCCTGTTGTTATAGATGGAATCAGGAACTGAATCCCTGTTGTTATAGATGGAATTAAGAATTGAATTCCTGTTGTTATAGATGGAATTAGGGACTGAATCCCTGTTGTTATAGATGGAATTAGGAATTGAATTCCTGTTGTTATAGATGGAATTAGGAACTGAATTCCTGTTGTTATAGATGGAATCAGGAACTGAATTCCTGTTGTTATATATGGAATCAGGAACTGAATCCCTGTTGTTATAGATGGAATTAGGAATTGAATCCCTGTTGTTATAGATGGAATCAGGAACTGAATCCCTGTTGTTATAGATGGAATTAAGAACTGAATTCCTGTTGTTATAGATGGAATTAGGGACTGAATCCCTGTTGTTATAGATGGAATCAGGAACTGAATCCCTGTTGTTATAGATGGAATTAGGAATTGAATCCCTGTTGTTATAGATGGAATCAGGAACTGAATCCCTGTTGTTATAGATGGAAGTAGGAACTGAATCCCTGTTGTTATAGATGGAATCAGGAACTGAATCCCTGTTGTTATAGATGGAATTAGGAATTGAATTCCTGTTGTTATAGATGGAATTAGGAACTGAATCCCTGTTGTTATAGATGGAAGTAGGAAGTGAATCCCTGTTGTTATAGATGGAATTAGGAATTGAATTCCTGTTGTTATAGATGGAATTAAGAACTGAATCCCTGTTGTTATAGATGGAATTAGGAGCTGAATCCCTGTTGTTATAGATGGAATCAGGAACTGAATTCCTGTTGTTATAGATGGAATTAAGAACTGAATCCCTGTTGTTATAGATGGAATCAGGAACTGAATCCCTGTTGTTATAGATGGAATTAAGAACTGAATCCCTGTTGTTATAGATGGAATCAGGAACTGAATCCCTGTTGTTATAGATGGAATCAGGAACTGAATCCCTGTTGTTATAGATGGAATTAAGAATTGAATTCATGTTGTTATAGATGGAATTAGGAATTGAATTCCTGTTGTTATAGATGGAATTAGGAACTGAATTCCTGTTGTTATAGATGGAATCAGGAACTGAATTCCTGTTGTTATATATGGAATCAGGAACTGAATCCCTGTTGTTATAGATGGAATTAGGAATTGAATCCCTGTTGTTATAGATGGAATCAGGAACTGAATCCCTGTTGTTATAGATGGAATTAAGAACTGAATCCCTGTTATAGACGGAATTAAGAACTGAATTCTTGTTGTTATAGATGGAATTAAGAACTGAATCCCTGTTGTTATAGATGGAATTAAGAACTGAATCCCTGTTGTTATAGATGGAATTAGGAATTGAATCCCTGTTGTTATAGATGGAATCAGGAACTGAATCCCTGTTGTTATAGATGGAATTAAGAACTGAATTCCTGTTGTTATAGATGGAATTAGGGACTGAATTCCTGTTGTTATAGATGGAATTAGGAATTGAATTCCCGTTGTTATAGATGGAATTAGTAACTGAATCCCTGTTGTTATAGATGGAATTAGGAACTGAATCCCTGTTGTTATAGATGGAACCAGGAACCGAATCCCTGTTGTTATAGATGGAATCAAGAACTGAATTCCTGTTGTTATAGATGGAATAGGAATTGAATTCCTGTTGTTATAGATGGAATCAGGAACTGAATCCCTGTGGTTATAGATGGAATTAGGAATTGAATCCCTGTTGTTATCGATGGAATTAAGAACTGAATCCCTGTTGTTATAGATGGAATTAGGAGCTGAATTCCTGTGGTTATAGATGGAATTAGGAACTGAATCCCTGTTGTTATAGATGGAATTAAGAACTGAATCCCTGTTGTTATAGATGGAATTAGGAATTGAATTCCTGTTGTTATAGATGGAATTAGGAACTGAATCCCTGTTGTTATAGATGGAATTAAGAACTGAATCCCTGTTGTTATAGATGGAATTAGGAATTGAATTCCTGTGGTTATAGATGGAATTAGGAATTGAATTCCTGTTGTTATAGATGGAATCAGGAATTGAATCCATGTTGTTATAGATGGAATTAAGAACTGAATCCCTGTTGTTATAGATGGAATTAACAACTGAATTCCTGTTGTTATAGATGGAATCAGGAACTGAATCCCTGTGGTTATAGATGGAATTAGGAATTGAATCCCTGTTGTTATAGATGGAATTAGGAACTGAATCCCTGTTGTTATAGATGGAATTAAGAACTGAATCCCTGTTGTTATAGATGGAATTAAGAACTGAATCCCTGTTGTTATAGATGGAATTAGGAATTGAATTCCTGTTGTTATAGATGGAATTAAGAACTGAATCCCTGTTGTTATAGATGGAATTAAGAACTGAATCCCTGTTGTTATAGATGGAATGAGGAACTGAATCCCTGTTGTTATAGATGGAATTAGGAGCTGAATCCCTGTTGTTATAAATGGAATTAAGAACTGAATTCCTGTTGTTATAGATGGAATTAAGAACTGAATCCCTGTTGTTATAGATGGAATTAGGAACTGAATCCCTGTTGTTATAGATGGAATTAAGAACTGAATTCCTGTTGTTATAGATGGAATTGAGAACTGAATCCCTGTTGTTAAAGATAGAATTAGGAATTGAATCCCTGTTGTTATAGATGGAATTAAGAATTGAATCCATGCTGTTATAGATGGAATTAAGAACTGAATCCCTGTTGCTATAGATGGAATTACGAACTGAATTCCTGTTGTTATAGATGGAATCAGGAACTGAATTCCTGTTGTTATAGATGGAATTAGGAATTGAATCCTTGTTGTTATAGATGGAATTAGGAACTGAATTCCTGTTGTTATAGATGGAATTAGGAACTGAATCCCTGTTGTTATAGATGGAATTAAGAACTGAATTCCTGTTGTTATAGATGGAATTAGGAATTGAATCCCTGTTGTTATAGATGGAATTAGGAATTGAATCCCTGTTGTTATAGATGGAATTAAGAACTGAATCCCTGTTGTTATAGATGGAATTAGGAGCTGAATTCCTGTGGTTATAGATGGAATTAGGAACTGAATCCCTGTTGTTATAGATGGAATTAAGAACTGAATCCCTGTTGTTATAGATGGAATTAGGAATTGAATTCCTGTTGTTATAGATGGAATTAGGAACTGAATCCCTGTTGTTATAGATGGAATTAAGAACTGAATCCCTGTTGTTATAGATGGAATTAGGAATTGAATTCCTGTGGTTATAGATGGAATTAGGAATTGAATTCCTGTTGTTATAGATGGAATCAGGAACTGAATCCCTGTTGTTATAGATGGAATTAAGAACTGAATCCCTGTTGTTAAAGATGGAATTAAGAACTGAATTCCTGTTGTTATAGATGGAATCAGGAACTGAATCCCTGTGGTTATAGATGGAATTAGGAATTGAATCCCTGTTGTTATAGATGGAATTAGGAACTGAATCCCTGTTGTTATAGATGGAATTAAGAACTGAATCCCTGTTGTTATAGATGGAATTAAGAACTGAATCCCTGTTGTTATAGATGGAATTAGGAATTGAATTCCTGTTGTTATAGATGGAATTAAGAACTGAATCCCTGTTGTTATAGATGGAATTAAGAACTGAATCCCTGTTGTTATAGATGGAATGAGGAACTGAATCCCTGTTGTTATAGATG